GAACTAATCATGTTATTGATGAAACTGTAACAAATATCATTGATAATCACATAAACAAATGCTGTAGCTTCGTGTTACATGTTAGTGTTAGTTAGGAGTGGGTTAGGAGAGTTAGGCAGTAGGCACTAACTAGTATAACTAGGAAAATATGGTTATGTATTAGTGCTCTTGCCAGCCGTACAGTTTGTATCTTAATTGGTGCATGTTACAAGAATTTGAATGGAGAAGAGTAACTTCATCCAGACTTATGGAAGACAGCATCAGTTTGAAACTGACACTTTTTCTTTGTTTGTTTGTTTGTTTTTTTTTTGTGGGTTTTGGCCTGGAAAACATACTGGGGTTTTATTCCTATTGTATAGCTTCTGTTGAGTAAATGACATGTGGAATTTAAATTCCCATGTCAAATCACTGAACCAGCAATGCTAGATTCAATACTGGATGACATTACTCTTTATAGAGTTACTGCTATGTGCTTGTCTTTTCTATAAGACCATCATCAAACCCTTCTGATCAGAACATTGACTTCCTGTATAGGTATGAGGAACAGAAGCCAAGGGAATCAGAGACCAACTCTATTGACAGAGCAATTGCAAATCTCATGTTCAACAAAATGGACATCAATGTACAAGAGCTTCCTCTTACAACATCAGTACACTCCCAGCAAGAAATCAGTGGAACCAAACCTCTACAAGGAAAACCCTCAAAAGCCTTGAATGAGGCACAAAACTTTCATCATAATCATCATCATCATCCCTGCGCATTAAACTTACAAAGCAATGCTGCGGAGGTTCCAACTTTTAATCAAACCAACATGCAAACAGCTGCAGATTCACATGTTATGTACGAAGACCCTACAGAGAAATCTTTCATGCTAGAGTTCGGTTAAGTGATGTGTGATAGTAGGGTTCCCGGTTGCTTGCTAGACCTGTTATAAGCAGAACCAGTTTCATGTTTGATTAATGCTGTTTCTGTAATCTGCATGAGTATACCATTTGAATCTGCATTATCTGTGCTGGTGTCAGTTCACCTGCTGTCGTATATGCTAAAACTCCAGCTTGCTGCAGTTGAAGTTGAAGATTTTTGCCTACTCGGTTAGGAATAATTAAACAGTACTAGCTATTCCCTGCATCCTCCGGTGCTGCAAATGGTCGTTTCTCTCTGAATGTTCTTCAGATCAATGCCTTTCGATTGCGGGTTTTGCCTTGTGGTTAGAGCAACAGTGGAACTTGAAGTGGTAGCCTTGGCCTCTTTTTCAATTTTCGTAGCCTTGGCCTTGCTTTGACTGATTTTAGAGGAGTTGAGATCCTCTAAATTCCTTCAGATATTTTCTTGTTTAATTTCAGAGAAAGGTATACTGTGACCTTATCGAACGTGGGTTCCCTGTTATTTATGTAAAGCTCTTTCAGTAATGTAGAGGACTTAGTCTTTGTTTAGAAGTAGTAACTAAAAGTTCACACCAATTGTAGTTGGGTTGAGTGGAAGAGAATTCCTCTTGATCAAGGTATGGTTTAGCCTGTGGATTGAAAAAGAAAAATCATGTTTGAAGAGCTGTTATCAAGTATCTATTAACAATTAAGCTTGACATTGAAGGATTTGGTTTTGTAGTATTTCATTGTAGATAGAGGTACATGCGAATCTTTTCTATCCATAGATGGACATTCCAGCATCAGAAGCTAGGAGTAAAATGTAATTTTCGCTTGTATTTACGTACACAGCAATATTCACCTCGTCTCTTTTTATAAAAGCTCTCATTTGAGAAGTGTATTGTAGTTCTCACAAGAGTTTGGATTTTTAGAAAGAATTATGAAATGTTTTCACATGTAGTCCCATTGTCAGTAAAGCAAACTTTTTCACGAAAAAAAAAAAGAAAAAGAAAAAGAGAGGCATTCATTTAGGGGAAAATTTGTAGAGAATAAAAATTTTAGCACGCCAGCTGCTTTTTAGCTTCCTTGGATGGTCAAACGGACTCTTGCGAAGGGGGAGGGTCACCTAGCTCGAAATTTAGGCATTCTCCATTAGCTCTTGGGTTTGATTTGAAAAAAAAAGAAAGAAGCAGCAATGAGTTAGACCAATTGCTTGCTTGCCTGCCTTCCCCTAAAATAACTACTTTTGCCTACTTCTGTCTCGTGTTCTTAATATAAAAGTTAAATAACTAATTTGAAGAGATTTAAAAAAATTAGTTAAATTAGTTATTTGTAGCAAATATATATTGACCTCCTTAAATTACTTTTATCTAATTACGTATATTGAAATTACATTTGTGTAGAAACACCTTACAATCATTAGGGTTTTTCTTTTTGAAAAAAATTATAAATTTGGGAGAAAAAAATAGATTGACATATTATATCGAAAACTGTCAACTAACTTTTATATTTAAGGCTGGGAGTAGTATAAGATAAAATTATGTTCACATGATGCATCCCTGGTACAGCGTAAAGCTACTTCCCTCATCCAAATGGGCATCAATTATATGCACATGTAGAGAAGGGCTTGACTTAAGTCACCATCGTCATTTAGTGTTTGGGATGAAGATTGGGACTCCAAAAGCGCTTATCACCCAATTAAAGACAAACTCATTTACTTACCGCATATTTTAAAATCATGATTGGAAAGATACTCTAAATGATTCTACGACTACTTTCATTTTAAGGCATTACTGTCTATTTTTAAATTTTTTTTTGTTTTTTATTATAAGCTTTAAAGAATTTATTTATGTACAATAAAAAGTTAATTAAAATTAGTTTAAAGCAATGAATAAGTAAGAAGTATCACTTTAGTCTAAAATGCAAGTCACTCGTAGGAAAAAGTTTTGGTTCCAAATATTTAATACTTGTTTTTCAATTTTGCCCATATTTCATTCTCATTAAAAAAAGAGAAAAAAAAAAAAGGTGAGATATGAGAATGACTTGTAAGTGTAGAGAGAGATTGAGCCAATATGACGAGAGAGTATGACAATATGACAGGATAAATAATTAAAGATAAAATTGAGCCAAAACCACATTAAATGTTGAGATAAAATCAAATTATACATTGTATAAAATAGACTACACTCTACCAACAAACGTTTGGTTGACAATGATCTTGTATTCAAACTTTGGAGATGCAGTTGCGTCAAAACTATTGGTTGGTCCGAAGCGTTTTATATATATGTATATATAGACCACACTGCCATCCAAATATAAAGCTTATAAATGATTAACAAAGATATTTTAGGAAAGATAATATTTATTTATTATAAATAACTAAGATAACACTTATTTATTATAAATAACTAAATTAATTTATTTCATTAATCTTCTTAAATTAGTCAACTAGCTCATTGAAAATAGTGTGTGTATATATATATATATAGACCACACTACCAAACATCAAGCTTATAACCGAAGAGAGGAAATTGCGAGAAATTCATGGAAATGTCTTTGTTCTCGTCCTCACGGGTTCTCATACAGCACATAGGTTTTTTTTTAATTATTATTTTTAAAGTTTTGTCTCTTCTGAATTTGGTTTTGTCGTGACCTCAGTGACTTTGACTAATTTAATGCAAGTTGCGCGCGTGCATAATATAATAAAAAGAACCAACTTTATCACGAAACGTTGAATCATTCAGCTCAAAAAAAAAAAAATCACGAAACGTTGAATCATATACCTTAATGTTAAACAATGAATATATATGGTTCAAAAAAATAATTATGTTGCTGGAAAAAAATAATTATTTTAATTAAGGAATAAAAAATGGTAGTCTGGCCAACTGAAATTTAACATCTGTTTGATTGTGAAGGAGTAAATACAGAAAGACCCAGATGAATCATCAAATTAATTTGAAAATAAGGAATAATAAAAAATTATCTTCTTAAATTTCGAGTCGCTTCTAACTTATTCTTCATCGGATAATGCAATAGAATATCACCATGGAATATCATTAGAGTGAGTAAGAAGATAATTGATATACATATATATATATAGATACATATACGCATGCCTATGTACATACACACGCAAATATGAAACACACACACACACACACACAGGCTCACACGCCATATCATGAAATATTACAAATCAAATTAGTTATTGAACTAATTGATATTAGGATCCTCATTCAGTACTCATCATAGTGATTAGTATGTAATATGCTTCCATTGAGATTGTATGGAATGTGCTTCCATTGAGATTGTGGCTTAATTTTGGCAATAAAAAAAAAACAGAGAGAGAGAGATTGTGGCTCATGGGTTAATATATAACCTAACCATAATTGAATTGAAATCATCCAATTGTACTCCTTCCGGTCCTTATTATAAATTTCAAATAACTAATTCACGAATAATGAACAAGTAGTTAAAATTAATTAAAAACAATAAATATGTTAAAATATATTTTATTTTTAAATATGCCCTTATAATAAATGAGAAAAATGATGAAAGAGAATGTGGTAGGAAATGTGATGAGAGAGAAATAATTAGGAGCAATATTGAAAATAATATTAAATATTAAGACAAACTTAAATTGAAGCTTATAAAATAGATAATGCCTCTTTCTAAATTTGAAGCTTATATATAGGATTGGAGGAAATATATGATTAGAATAAAAAAATGTAATTAAAATATACAATAATTTTCATATGTAACTTTGAAAAAGCTAGAAAATTTGTGTATCAAAACTGCATATAATCTAGGAAAAATAACAAAAAAAGAAGCTGAAAATTTTTAAATGCTAAATAAAGAATGCCAACAAAATTTTTTTATCATTTGCAAATTTAGTATTGTCAACACCAAATAAAATGTTGTTACCAAATTTGATTTGGGATTTAGTAATTTTTAATTTTTTTTTGGTCATTCTCCCTATAATCTAATACAATAGTGTTACTAGCACAAATCTAACTATTTTTTTGTTTCATGTCCAACGATAAAAAATAAAAATAATATTCAACTAGATTGACGCATCTAACACTCTTCATTGGATTGATAACGAGACTAATTTATCGGTGTAATAGCATGAGCTTTTCACACAATGGAGACTTTTGTTTTCTGATGAACTTCACAGCAATTTGCCAGTTTATTCAAAGACTTAAAAGACGATCCAGCCTCAGATACCGCCATTTCTGCACTATGCTTGAGCTCTTCAACCCTGGCTCTCATACACCGTCCTTCTTCTTCCACCATTAATCTTCCTATTAGCTTCTGAATTTCCAGCCTATCAATAACCACTGATGATTCCTTCTCCATCTTCTTCACCCTTAAAGCCACCCCTAGCTCTTCCGTCAACATAGTTGCGTTCATCATCTGCTCGGCGTACAGCGGCCACGCTATCATCGGAACTCCACCGGTGACGATCCCCTCCACCGTCGAGTTCCACCCACAGTGTGTCATGAATCCACCGACGGAACGGTGAGCTAGGATCTCTGCTTGTTGAGCCCACTTGGGGACCACAAGTCCCACCTTTTCCGTCCTACAAGTGAACCCCTCCGGCAAGAAATCGTCACCGCCGGCGTTTTCCACGTTGAAAAATGCGCCATTTGTTGCGTTTTCCTTCGCCGAACGGACCACCCAAACGAATCTCTGTTCACTTAATTCCAAACCCCATGCCACCTCCGCCATTTGTGCCGGCGACAAGGTCCCACCACTCCCGAACGAGACATATAGCACTGACTCTGGTGGTTGCCGATCAAGCCAATTCAAGACTTCATTGTTTCTGCTCCTTCCTGGTTCGATGGTTCTCACTATCGGTCCAACTGGATAAATCGTGCCCTGAATCATCCCTCCTAAACCGTTCTCACTGTCTCTCAAAGCTTGAAGCGTTACTGGCTCAAGATCTTCCCACGTGTTCACCAGAATCCCATCGGCTCGGCTAATGTCAACCCCCATTTGAACAAACTGCTCGAACACCGGTTGTCCCCGGAGCAGTAACGGTTCGAGTGTGTCCTCAAATCGAACCGGTTTACAACCCGGAATACGGAGTGGTTCACGGTGTTTCAGATGCCGATCTAGAGCTTCCTCATCGATGGCCGGAGTATACACAGTAACTGCAAGAAGCCATGCCGTGGAAGTGACAAACACGAAGTTTAGCATCCCAAGGTCACGTGCTATGGCCAAAGCATTTGTACTGAACATATCGACGATGAGGGCGGTTGGCCGGCGTTCCATTGAGAGGATCGCAGAACGGAGAAGCGGCAGCGACTTCTCCATTGCTAAACTGATGCGTGCTCCGATGGGGGAGTCAGGTCCGAGTTGGCCGGAGATATTTACAGGAGGGAGGATAACGATGTTAAGAAGGCAAGGTTGAAGAAAGTTTGAACTTTGCTGGATAATTTGTGAATGTGTGGTTGAGAAATCGGTGGAGACGACGAAGATAGTGACGTCAGAGAAATGGTGAGAGCGAAGGTGTTTTCCGAGTTCGATGATCGGAATGAGATGGCCCATGCCCGGGCTACAGAGCAACGCCGCAGTAGGACTGTTTGCGCCGGCGATCACCATGGTTACAGAGAAAGAAGCGATCGACAAATGAGGTTTTGACTTTTGTAATGAGAGGAGGGAGCGATGATAATGCGTTTCTTTTCCTTTCAGATTTGCATTGCGGTTTCTTATTTTATATAGCGATCCAATGGGATTTGAATTTCCGTACTCTTATAAAGGATTTTGTTTTGACTGAATAGCTAACTGCACATTAAAACACAAAATTATTTTTGCAGACAATATTTATATAAGTATGTTAAGTTCTCTAATTATACATGACAATATGGTTTATTTTTTAAATGTTAACATTAAATAGCATTTAATTATAAATTTACAGGAAACAAAAAAAGAACATATGATCGGAAAACTTGACATAATATAGATCAGAAACTTGACCCATATCTTTTTCTTTACAAAATTATAAATTTAATTAAAACTTTAAATATCCGTGATCTAAATCTAATTGAAGCAATGCATATCTTATTCATATATATATATGTGTGTGTGTGTGTGTGATGATTTGGTTGTATGAAGGTAATTAAATATATATGTTCTTTTTTATTTTAATGATATAATTTTGCTTCCACCAAGTTGCAGTTATTTATTAACCGGCAGCCGGTGAGGTAACATGGGTTACGTAATAAACTTCAGGCCCTCTATTTAATTAAGTAATTAAGGATTGGCAGTGCTAGCTGTAGAGAGAGAGAGGGAGAAAGGAGCAGAGCAAGACAGAAGAATTCTACTCCTCCCATCCTTTGCCACACGAGGTAGTTAGGAAATTCATCCTAATTTTAAATATAAAATTTCGATCTGTTTAATTTTTAATTTTTATTTTACCAAACTTGATTTAAGTGATAATGTGATATATATAATCTAATATTATATAATAGTATTTTATGGAGATCAAGTTAAATTTATTAAAATTAGATAATTTATTTATTTTTCTTAATATAGTCAAATTAAAAAAAGTAATTCTTATATTAAGGATGGATAAATGTTCCATTCAACTCATCATCATTCTTCTTATTACCTAATTACACTGTAACCATATATAATTCCTCTTGTTTGTAAGCTTAATGATCCATTGACTAACTCTAACCAACTCTCTTTCCCTTTTATTGCAATTATACTACCTCCGATCCTAATTATAAGAGTTAGTTAACTAATTTGAGGAGATTAAGGAAATAAGTTGAGTTAGTTATTTGTTCTAAATATGTGTTATCTTTTCTAAAATATCTTCGCTAATTAAATATATTGACTAGAACTATTATTGTTAGAAGGGCTACTTTAGAAAAAAAATATAAATATGAGAAACAAAATGAATTGAGGTCTTATATTTAGAACCAAAATAAATGTCAAATAGGGTCTTATATTAAAGACCGGAAGTAGTATATTAGTATCTTGGAAGGCTACGACTATAGCTCCAAATAAGAAACTGAGGAATGATATTTAAAAAAAAAAAAAAGAATTATGGATTGATTTGCTTTTAATATTAGCGTGTCATTCGATTCAAATTTCTAGTATTAGTCATCTCAAAAATTGGGACTTCTGTTGCTAATTTTACATGGACATGTCTAAAAAATTTCATTTTCTTTATGTTTTTATTATAAAAAAAAGGCGCTCTGTTAATATTGATTTATATTGAAATTTTAAGCCTTTTTTTAATATCATTTTTGTATAAAAATATCCTTACGATACTAATCAATAAATAATTAATTCAAATAGTTAATAATAAAAAGTTAGTACTGTTTTATTTTTAAAAAACTCTATAGATTTAATTTTCTTTTTAATTTTAAGATGTCATTTGTTTTCCCCAGAAGAAACCAGTCTAGGAAGGTGTTGTATAAAACCAGAACAATCATGAAGCTGCTTGTACAACAAATGGAGTCTGATACATGAAAGAAAAATCCAAATTGAACACTAAAGAAGAATGGCAGTTGTATAAGACGATCGATAATATAAAATTAAAATTGATGGTTTCTGATTCTGGAGTCTGCAAGATACATAGGGAGAAAGACATATAAGAACTGGAAATGATTTGATTCCTATAAAGTTTTTAGAGATTATTTTGAAATTAATTTTTTTATTTATAAAATGATCTAAATACTCTAAATAAAATTAATTGTCACTATTTTAATTATTGCCGTCATTGGTACTATCAAAAAAGTGAAATTATTTGTCATTAACTGATGTTTTAGTTATTATATTCATTTGATAAATTAAAGTTATCTTTTTAATAAATCTGACATGTTTGGATTATATGGGCTTTTGATTGATTTGTTTTTGATACGGAAGTTGAACAAAGTTCATGAGTGTCTCTAGAATTTAAATGGTAGAAAATTGATATTGTCCCTTTTGCTAAAACCCTAAACCTTATATTAAAGGGCCAGATTCTTGCAGCTTTAAACTTCTGCCATTGATAATTTAGTTGAGAGTTAAGTTTTGTTCTAAACATAAACCACAATTCATATTTATAATTTTTTGTCCAAAAATATCTTTATTAATTATACGGAATAGTTTTAATAATGCAAATTGATTTAAGAGGATATTTAAAACATACAAGATATATTTTTGATAAATAGTACCCCTAGTTCTAATTATAAGAGGTAGTTGACTAATTTGAGGAGATTAAGGAAATAAGTTAAATTAGTTATTTGTAATAAATAGGTGTTATATTTTTTAAAATATCCTTGCTAATCAAGTGTATTAGCTAAAACTACCATTATTAGAAGGACTAACTTAAAAAAAATACATAAATATGAGAGACAAAGTGGCTTGGAGCACTATATTTAGGACTAAAATAAAAATAAAATAAGATCTTATATTAAAGACTGGAGGTAGTACTTAATTTAACTAGTTTTTTCAATCCATCAAGTCAGTTAAGTTAATTTTATATTAATAACATGAGGGGAAAACCATATTGAAGGTACCTATACTTTCTCTCAATTTTTAATTTGGTACCTATGTGTTTTTTCCCTTTAATTAAACATTTAATTTTATCTTTTTAACAACATTAGCTCTTATAACTTTGTTCTATTGATATTTTTAGTCTCTACATAAGGATTAATGATGTTAATAGAGGAAAAATAAAGATTTAGTTAAGAACAAAAAACACATAGGTATCAAATTGAAAATTGAAAAAAAGTATAAGTACCTCCAATATGGTTTTCCCTAACATGAGTTACTAATGATTAAGCACCCGTGGGTGTATCTTAATGACTAAGAAATTGGCCCCACAAGGCCTTCTCGGCGGCTCCGTAATCTGGGCCACAAAACGCACTTGGGTTTTAAAAATGGGATTGTAAGAAAGCCCGATAGGATCGCAAAAGATTGTGAATTCTTTTGTTACACCAGCATAGACGATATTTTAAGAAAGAATTTTGGTGAGTTCCAAGAAAATAATAGTATAATCATAAAAAAAAAAGTTTTAATAATAGGATAGTGAAATAGTGATATAGCTTTGGGTCATTTTCTATTTTTTTAAAGCATAGGTATGTTTTTTTTATCAAATATAATCCTGTTCAAAGCATTATTAGGTATTAAATGTGAGGACTTCTCTCAGCGAGAATTCGAACATTGGTTCATTACATTAGAAGGGATTAGTCCCCTCCTCTAGACTTAACTCCTCTTAATATGTTTGTGTTATTTTCAACTTCAAAACTTATTATTACAAATTACTCAATTATTGTAAGATTTTCGGCGATTACATTCATTCTTTGAAACATCATAATAATTCTTTCTATTTTTAACCTGGTACAATTCAAAGTAATAAAAATTAGACTAATAATTAAATCAGTAGAGAAAGTAGTTATTGTGGTAGAACTGGGTTCAATGCAATCGTGATTAAAAAGAAAAAAAATTCATATTCAACCTTAAAAAGAGTTATATTTGAATAAAGATGACATTAATCCATAAGTAAATAAAACATTGACGTATAAGTATATAATTCAATAAAACAGAGTTATCAAAGCATAAATATGATGATATATTGTTACTTTTATAATTAAAAACAATCTCATTTTGGGCTCAACAGGGAAAAATATAAAATCGAACCCAATTGGGAAAAAAAAAACCTTCTTATTAAACGAGACATAAATCAACATAAAAAGTTAACAAGTTTGAATTTTAAATTAACAGTTTTATGTCTCCAAAACATAGGTACAATAAGTTTTTGAATAAAATTTGATCACAATACTACACATGAAAAATAATATGTTTCATTTTATAATTAATACATTTTACTTCTAAATTCACAACCTTTTGTTTTCATGATACATTTCTTTGAATAAAATTTGATCACAAGTAATATAATCTTGAAATTAAACACATTTCAATTCTAAATTAATAACTTTATATCGTCATAACATACTTATAATAAGTTTTTGAATAAAACTTTATTACAATACAATGTTAAAAATTAACGTGTTTTTTATTTTGCAGTTAACACATTTACATTCTAAATTAATAACTTTATGTTAGGATGAAACTATCAGGATTAACGGTGATTTAGTATAAAAAATAACTTATCATCTCCTACTTTGTAATGGTATTCGCCAAGTTTTTCTTGTTCAGATCTCTAGCATGACTCGGTTAGAGTCATTTTATAAAATTTTGAAATATCTCTTTAGATCATGTGACTTGATGATGAGGACTTTAACAAATTCAATAAATTAAATAATAGTTTAGACTATTTAAGTGTCTTTTAAAACAATTTTTCCTAAACTTAAGTATCTTGTGAGGGAAAAATATCATCTCCCAAAAGAATTGCTTTTGATGGTTTAAAAGAAATGTTAAGAAACAGAAAAAAAATCCCTCTACCGGCGGAAACGTGGCTATATGGCCAAAATTTAAAACATGAATCCTGTTGGTGGCCCTCCATACATTAGAAAGAAAGCAAACAAAAATCAAAATGCGTTCAAAGTCTAAATAATAAATAATTGGGGTTAATGTCAGAATCAAATAGTCAACTCTGAAGTACATCTTTTGTACCGGGAAAAAAAAAAAGAGAAGTCTATTTTTTCATACTTAAAACAATTTAGTAGAGAAATATTTTAGAAACAATTTGGAAAACAAAAAAAATTAAAAAATATATGTTTGGATCATCATACTGGGAAAAAAATCTAAAATGAAAAACTAAAGGATAAAAAAATTTTTTAGAGTAACAAATTTTAAAACTTTTTGTTATAACCATAAACACATTCTTTTTTAAAAAAATAGTTTTTTAAAACTGTCATGAAAACAGATTATCAAACAGATCCTTTGTTTCTGTTTTTTCCTTTTGAAAGACAATCTGGTAATTAACAGTTTTAATTTAAATTTTCTCTATTTCCAGTTGTGGGGGGTCAAAATGACAAACCAATCCCAAAAATGATGAACCATAAATCCAGCTTTTTATTTACTTATTTTTAGCTAAATACTTCAACTAAATACTTCATCTTTTGAACTTAACTGAACTAATTAACCTGATGTGTATTAAACCTAAACTTAAACTGAAATCTTAACTAAAAGTCAGTACTATGAAATAAAAGCAAATAAAAAAATAGAAAAACACAGACATGTCTTCAAACCTCTATATAGATATATATATATATATATATATGTATATGTATATGTATGTATGTATATATATAAATGACGAAACGTGCTTTCCACAAAGTTGTTTTCTTCGTATAAACCCATTTCTAGCTTCCTTTGATCATTTGTCATTTCATTGATCTTCCTTGATTTCTATCTACTTCACAGAATAATCTAATGGCGCCACCATCAGCGGCGCTGCCAAGAGATTCACCGGCGGATACTAACTCCATCGCCTCCTCCCTCACGCCGGATAGAGATTCGGCAACAAGCCGGCTACCAGCTATCTCCTTACAACCAGCAAATATCAAACAACAGCAAACAAAATCCCACAAACTATTCCGAAAGTTCCGTTCAGTTTTCCGGTCATTCCCGATCATCACGCCGTCATCATGCAAGTTCCCGGTCTCGCTCGCCGGAGGCCACCAGGGAACCGACAAGTACATTCACGGAGGGATTAGGGTCACCGGAACCCTATTCGGACACCGGAAAGCCAGGATTAACCTTGCTTTCCAGGAAAACCCTAAGTGCCTTCCGTTTCTTCTTCTAGAACTTGCCATTCCGACGTCGAAGCTGATTCAGGACATGGGAACGGGGCTTATGAGAATAGCCTTAGAATGCGAGAAGCGCCCGAACGAGAAGACGAAGATCATCGACGAGCCAATATGGACATTGTTCTGCAACGGCAAGAAAAATGGTTATGGTGTGAATAGAGAGCCCAGCGAAGATGACCTGAGCGTCATGCAGTTACTTCATGCCGTGTCCACCGGCGTCGGTGTTCTGCCGGCCGAGATGGCGGACCCACAAGACGGCGATCTATCGTACATGAGGGCGAATTTCGAGCGAGTCATCGGATCGAAGGACTCGGAGACTTATTATATGATGATGCCGGACGGCAACCATGGCCCTGAGCTCAGTGTCTTCTTTGTGAGGATATGATATTGGAAACCCAGAAAATGGGAAACAAAATGTTGTTAATTATATTGGAGAAAAATTAATTTAGATTGTTCGAAATCATTAGTTAAGTCAATTTAGATTTTTACACCATTTCTAGTTGGTTTGATTTTTTCAATCCATATTGCGTAATTTTTTGGGGGTTTTAGTTACTTCTTTTTGATATACACAAAATTCAATATCAAAATTTTAATTAGTTCTTGTTGGATGCCAGAAATTATATTCAAGATAGATTTTCTTGATAGGCATATGTATGTTTTTAGTGAAAACAATTCTATTCAAAATACTGTTGGACATCAAAAGTGGGTAATTGGTACATCTTTTAGTGAAAATTTGAAGTCTAATTGAAGATGGAGTATGCAATGGAGTAGTACCCTTGTTTTTTTTTTCCCAAATTTTATTCAAATTTTACAAAATCTCTTTTTAATTCTCTAGATTTCAAGCTAACATTATTAGTTTTGAAGATGATTGTTTGAATCAATCATTATCTTGGATGCCAGAAATTATATTCAAGATAGATTTTCTTGATAGGCACATGTATGTTTTTAGTGAAAGCAATTCTATTCAAAATACTATTGGATATTAAAAGTAGGTAATTGGTACATCTTTTAGTGAAAATTTGAAGTCTAATTTATCGCGTTGTGAAAACAAATTGAAGATGGAGTATGCAATGGAGTAGTACCCTTGTTTTTTTTTCTCTCCAAATTTTACAAAATCTCTTTTTAATTCTCTAGATTTCAAGCTAACATTATTAGTTTTGAAGATGATTGTTTGAATCAATCATTATAATTTTTAAAAAAATTATATATAATATGTTGTGATGCGAGGAGGGCTCCCTCAATCAGAGGGACTCGAATCTGGATGATGCACGTATGTTTGATAATAAGAATATTGTCTCTTTTTTGTTCGCAAAGATTTTGTTAATTTGATGTGATTGTATTTCGAATGATTATTTTGTAAACTTTCCATATCTTGATCCAATTTTAAATTTTATTTTTAAAATATATAAATCACTAAGATATGTTTTTTTTAGTATAGAGCAATATAACATCAAGTTCTTTACCCTTTCATAAAAAATTCTTGAAACCCAAAATCAATATATTTTTTTTCAGAATCCATTTAGAATTTTACACACAAATGCATTCTTTTAAAAGAAAAAATTTGTTCTTTCAAAAATATTTAATCAAATTTTTTTTTTTATAAAGATTCAGTATCATTAATTCTACCCAAAAGTATACCTCTTGTCTGATGGCAAGCGAATGCACTGTGCGTGGAAAAGTGGCTATATTTGAACTGGGTCATTTAAAGTTGAAATAAAAACTTCTTTTTGTTGAATTTCTTAGTTTTCAAAAATTACATCACATTTTGATTTTTCATTTGAGTTCAAAAGGGGGTGGCACATGGAATATTTATTGATTCTTTTTTTCCCCTTAATGTGTATTGATTCGAACCAAATCATGAAAACTTCCAATTGAGACCATAATTAATGCACAAAATTTTCAACATTCAAAAAATTTTTTTTTTTGGGTATTCTTTTCAGCACTTATTATTTAATCATCACAAGTGTTGTCTTCAATTTTATTTAAAGACAGTTGACCTTTTATGCCATGGACACAAGCTATGGTTAGAAACATGCCTTTATTGCCAGTGATTACAGAATGCTTGTGCATTATCTCTTTCAGGTTTCTATTTAATTTTAAAGCATCTTACTGAACTAACATTACCCACCAAAATTTGTATTGACCCTTTTTTTCCTTGTTTTTAAAAAATAATTTTTTTGGTTTTTAAAAGCAAAAAAACTTGTTTCGTTGTTAATTTTTAACTTAGTATTTTGTAAAACAAAAAAATAGAAATATGTTTTTGAAAACAAAAAAGAATCCAAACAACTTTTACATGTTTTACTATTTCTAATTTTTTCCCTCTATTTTGTTATTTTTTAAAATTTTTCTTCTCACTTACGGTCAGGATTCCTGCTTTGTCTCTTGCACTATTCTACATTGTTGATCAATTGTCCAATCCAAGTCTCCGTTTATTATCGCTACACTCTCCCCTCTGTCTCTCACCTTCTATCAATTCTCCAAGTTAATTTTAAAATGTATTTTTTTAGAATAATTATCAAAATATATATTTTTCAAAACTCATTTTAAAAAAAAAGTTTATAAAACTATCCTAAAATAGGAAAAACAGAAAACAGAAACGAACAGGGGCTGTTTGTTTTTGTTTTTTGTTTTCTTGTTCTCAAAATAATTTTATAATTGTTTTTAAGAATAAGTTCTGAAAACAAAAAATAAAAGAATTTGTTTGGATAATAATTTTTAAAAAAATCATGTCTGAAAAAAAAAAAAGTAGAAAACCACACTTGATAGATGATAGTTGTCGCTTGTAATGATAAATGGTAGATAGTAGATGAAAAGAAAAGAAGATTTCGAAAAAAATTTCAAAACAAAAAATACAAAATACAAAAACAATGAGAAGAAAACATGTAAAAGTTGTTTTGGTTTTTTGATTTCTAAAACAATAAACTAGAAACAAATTATCAAACAATTTTTTTTTTTGTTTTCTGTTTTTAAAAGCAAAAAATTGTTATCAAAACAAGAAACCAAACAAACCCACAAGTTTTGAGGCTCATGGACTAGACCATTTTGGCAGACGCCTCTTTTCTTAGTTCAACGTCAATGGTTCACCTAAAAGCTACGACAAGCTTTAAGGTGTCGCCGTGTCGTTTAGTTAGATGGAAATGGAATGCATCAATGGTAATAGTAATGACTAATGGGAAGCGGCATTACAACTATGTGTTTGGTTGCCTTTTTTTTTTGTGGGAAAAAATTCTAAAAAAAATACTGTTGAATTTTAAAATTTCAAATCAATATTGGTTATTATACTCGTAAAAAAAATATTACACTCAACAAACAAATGACAACATATTTTTAATAGTAATTCCTGATTACTGATTTAGAATTTTGAAATTCAACAGTTTTTTTTTTTTTTTAATTTTTCTCTTTCTTTCTAATGGAAAAGAATATATTAACAAATATGTACAAAGGTTTTCAAAGTCACAACAACCAAGCGAGCTAAGGAGTTCACTAGTATTAGTTGTGTGGTTGACAAGAGTGCAGACAGGGATAATAATTTCTTCATGATGATACATTGTTCCCGTTATCCAGGGATGGGAAAGCTGATTGCACAAAAAGCTACAATCTTGATTCGAAGGGACACCCTATGGAAGATAATCACAAATTTTTTTTGGAAAGTCAATTATATCCTTGTTTTACAAAACATCTGAAACTGAAATGACACAACCTACCCTCAAACTTTCATTTGATGCCCCTAGATGCCACATTGCCGTGTCATTTCTCTCACATCACCATCTCCCTCACACCACCACCGACCCTCCCTCCCTCCCTCCCTCCCTCCCACCACCGTGGTCACCACCAGCAGCGACATCAGCAAGGCGGTGACTAGCAACTTTTTCACCGGAGCTTTCTTCTTTGTTTTCCTCCTTTTTGCCACAATGATGCTCGTCGCCGGACCTTCACTAACCCATTTCTTCTCCGATGCTGATGGGATCTCTGACACCGACAGTGTTTGTGCAAGTCATAGTCATTTCTTCACCTTCGTATTTCCTTCTCAGATTCCTCAGATGATAGACCTTTCTAATTAGTGTTCAATTAAAAAAAAAAAAAATTCTGGGTTTGAAGCAATTCCTGATACGATTCTGCGATTTCCTTTATATTTAGGCGTATACAATGGATGATTCTAGTTTGGCTTTAATGGATGACTCTCGTTCGCTTTAACGATGATGCCATGAAAAGGAAGAACGATGGGGAAGGAGTTTGAAGAACCTTTCTTCAGGGTAATATGATCTTAACTTTTTGTAATTGAAAACATACCAAATAATATCACCATCTGAAAAGACCTGTAATTGAACCAAACCGGCCCTACATGTCATGCTCTCATAATTTAAAAATTTTAAGTCCTTGAAGCAAAAATTAAAAGTAAATGAGAATTGAACTAAACCAACTTCGATTAATATTTATTTACTTCAGTGCTGACCGCTTGGTTTGACAAGAGCGTTCTTCAGCGGGCGGGTTTGGACGAGCACGAGACGTATAGCTGACAGAGAAAGCCGCAAATTTATGCTGACAATCGTCTGATTCTTAACTTTCCATGTCAAGTGTAAGCCACATCCAAAACCAATTGAAATGTTAAGATGAAAATGGGACACGAAATAAGTAAGAAAGTGAAGTGAGAAAGTCATCTAGAAAACCAAAAGAAACATTACATTAAATATGTTCAACTTAATAGACAATTCAGAAGCTAGTAACCAAAATTTGCTCATCAAACAATCTGCTGTCACATTACTCCCAAGAAAAAATGAAACCTGGATTGAACACGCTAGCCTCCATCAGCAGTTTCACAGATCAAGGTGCTACCACAATCCGACCAGTGACTTGGTCAAGATCTCTCCGACCATTAGAAGTAATTCTTCTGCCCCTGTTACACAAGAATACTTTAGACCAACATGCAATTATTACAAACATATATAGACCATGAGATCGAGATAGAAAAGTGCCAAAAATAACCCCAAGAATAAGAAAAGAAAGAGCTAAACTTGATAGGAATCAAGTCAAAGGATCTTAAAAATTAAAGTTCTAAGAGGCCAGGGTTACCACTATTGCTTCCTGAAGTCATCCTGTGGTCTTCCAAGTGTTACGAGGACATACTGGATTTGTAACTTCAGGAAGCATTAACCTTGTGAAACACGAGTTGTAACTTTGGTAGGCAACAATGATAGCTATGGTCCTTCTGAGCAATTTTTATTTTTGTCTTTCAATGTCATTTCTACAAAGTTTGGGTTCTTGAGTCCAATTTACTTCAAATAATGACTTGGGGAAAATAGGCAAATATAAATCCTGTAAATGTAAATAATATTTCATAAGACAAACAATCTTTCAAAAAAGAGAAAACGGACAATAACCTATAAT